TACAAAGGGAATATTGCAAACAAGTGTAACAGTGCTCTCACTAGAGAATCACTGACACCATTCAGCACCCCCTGTTCCCTGAGCAAACCGGAGAAGCCCTTCTTCCACAGCTAAGCAAGGTACTCCATGAGAATGAAGGTTCTGGCTTTTAAACTGATTTGTTGGGTTTATAAAGTCTGAAGCAGAGTTATTAATGTAGTTCATCAGCAATAAACTATGCAACCATACTGTTTCATGGATGTCATTGGAAAACAATCTTGTAATCTTTGTACATCATCTCAGCCTGATGGTTTTGGGTAGGTTTGGTCCAATAAGAAACAAGAGTGCTCATTATATACATGTTCACTTAAAAGTGTATTCTAGACCAGCCATCATTTTCTGGAAGGAGTAGAGATTTGGTTAGACTTTACTGTCTAATAATATATTAATTGTAGGTAGCATTTCTTAGACTAGATGTGTTTAACTACAAGATGCCTCCTGGTATCAATGAGTAAAGATAAACTCATGCACATATGTTATTGGGGATGGTGGGGAATTAAGGAATAGGAAGGAAGGGGTTAAGGTTGCTACAATATATAATTAAAATGGGAGACTTATTATGTGAGAGTTTCATTGTTCAATGTTTACATGTTACAGATTCTTAACTAAAAAAAATGGTGCAATTATGATAGTAATATGAGAAGAAAAGGGGAAACTAAAATACGCAACAAATGCTAAGCAAAATAATGCTTGGAAAAGCCCTCAGTATCTGTCTTATTCAAGGAATAATGTAGATGCAGCTAAAAAAAATGTTACAATGGGGAAAAGAACAGAAAATTGCAAACTAACATCTCCATGAACTTTTAAATGAAAACTATGGTTCTGCCTTGTCCGGTGTAGATGATTTAGTAGTGGCTCTGCATTTGTGTGATGGAAGTGCAAGGGTTAACACTACCAAATCTCTGATAGAAATATGCCCACTACAAATTTATGTAATTTGTTGTGGGAGGTATGTACAAGACAAGTGTTTTTAGCTATTTATAACCAGAGCTCCATTTTGCTTCACTGCAAGGTCAGGCACTTTGCTTTTCTGAAAATCAAACAAAAAATTTGACTTAATAAAAACCATGGTACACCAAGGACAAACTAATTAGGACAAATGGAGTTTGATTTTGGTATTGCTCATGAGAACACGGAGCATGGCTCTTCTACTGTGCGCTGCACTTCAGAGAAATTACCAAAGTGAACAGCACAGGCTGTTAACAGGATAGAAACAAAAGGAGAGGCTAGTCATGATTAAGAGTTGGTAATTAGTGTTCTCTTCCTCCCTTCTGGGAACATGCTCTGGGATGGGGAAAAACCTGTATGTGTGTGTTAGCAGCGATGAACTGAGTTGTGGGGCTCCAAAAGAGAGTCTGGTAAAACCATTCACCATACACAAGAACATCAGTGGGCAATTGGATGGTGAACTTGTCTGCTGGCAGTATCAGGGTCACAGTGAAATATGTTTGTCACCATTACACCTGGTCATACTGAGTATATATGTTTTTATAGATTTCATCACTCCTCTCCAGCACTTGGGTAGCAGCTGTCATGTTCTCATTGGGTTTGGCTTTATCACCTGCTTGAAAGTAAGTTTACACGTTAGATTTTCCAAAGGCTGTGAGATACAGAGGAAGGACGTACAGTAAACCACTGGATTCTGCTCTGTTATTTTACTGGAAGGGAGAAAGTGTGGAACGTTCTTCCTGATGTACCCCTTTAAAGCTTGTAATGAAAATTGAAAAGCCTTTCCATTTTATGTAGTGAGATGAAAAGTACATTTGGGGATTCTATTAAAATGAATAACTAACCATTTTTTAATCAGAAATGTTTATTTAAAATCATTAAATTAAATTGTTTTTAATTTATCATTTATTGATAAATTAAAATGATAAATTAAAAAAAATAATGACTTTTCATTAAGAACTGCAAATTTCTTACCATCTATAAACTTTGATTCATGTTCTTGACAGGCACAGGAGATACTGTTTTCTTCATCACTTCTGTGAAGTGTGAACAAATGTGTTCTAGAGATTATTTTTAAAAACTGAAGAATAAGCTTGTCTACTTTAATTACATAGTTAATAATTCTATGCCTTCATACAAAAAAGCAGATGTAATAATTACATGCTATGAACAAGAGATGACTCTGCATGAGATGTATTTACACTTTCTAGTAGCACTGAGCAAATGAAGTTATTTGTAAGTCTTCAAGAGGAGAGAAAGAAAATATGGATTTGCCAAGAACAGTGCTACATTTATCTGATTTTGTCAGAAAGAGCAGTAGCTAGATGTTAGTGAGGATTTTCACGTTGTGGCATTACCACAGGCAAGAGAGGATCTACCTGAAAGTAACATATGGCTGAACAGGTACTTGTCAAGCCATAGTCAGAGAGCACTTAATACCTCTGTTTTCAGAAGGGAAGGAGTTGCAAATTTTTCTTCTATTATTTTATCACTTTGACATCCAAACCTGCATTTATTTTTTTATTAGACCTTGGCATGTATTTTCTAATTGCTTTCCATTATTCATAAAGCAGTAAGGTATATAATATGATGCTGTGTTACTTTTCAATGCAGTATTACATATACCTACAGTGTTTGCTATGAAATAATCAGCATGTTGAACTTAATTGTAATAAAATGTTGTAATTCCCATTGCATTTAATTGATGATGGGGTGACATGGATGTCCATGGAAGGGGAAGAAGGGAAGACCACATGTCTCTACAACCTGCAGTGACTGGGGACGCTGCAGCTTTTGTCCCCATGCCCTAAGTGATGTCCCTTTGGTCTATATCTGCATGCACACAGAGTTGGAAAGGAAGGCAGTTATGCTTCCCCTATGGCATGCATGTTGTGTGGTTCTCTTCCTTACTCCTGGGAAGGCACCTCCCTTGGATACCCCTTTCCTATGGGAGTGCTCAAGTCCTCAGTGGCACCAGTGCTCAGTTGGTCTGTGCTCTTCCACAGGAGCCAGAATAGCATTTTTCAGCTGCAGAGCTAATCAAGCACTTGCCAGGTAAAGCCTTCCATCACTGATTTTATTTCTGCACAGCTTGGTACTCCTTCTCTGGGACATTTTGAAAGAATTTAGTTAGATCTGCTTACTTTTTCCAAAGCGAGTTATGAAGGAGGATCCAAGGCTTTGGCTCCCAAGTCGGCAGGAATGCCTTGCTGTGGAGCCTAAGCTCAGCAGTGGGAGCATCAGCATGTCCATGCACTCAGCATTTACAATTAGCACATTTTCCTTCACGTTATTTGGGCCTCCATTCTACAGCATCAGACTCTTAGTTGAACTGATTCCTAAATTAATTTGCTAATGTTAGCAGCAGAGCATTGGAATGCCTTGAATTCCTAAATCTGAGGACCTTAATGAAACTCCGTAATTATAACTGCCTTGGAAGAGGTATTCAGAACAACAGTCATTCAAACTCACCAAGTGAGCAAGTTCGAGGGAGGCTCTGTGTGATCCTAGATTGGAGAAACATCTGGCATTAGGAGCTAGTAAAGGTGAAGATCTTGTGAATATGGCTGGTGTTGTGACCCTGAACAAATACTTATGGAAACTGACATGAATAAAATCAATTGGTAGTAATATAATTTTTTCCCCTCAGGCATTTTGATAAAATTATGGAATCTCTGCCAGCACATTTGGAAATACCAGGTAGAACAAGGTAGATTGCAAAAGGCTGTTTTCACAAATGTCACTAACTTCAGTACTGAAAAAAAAAAAACTGGAAAAAGATCATTGCTAGGAATTACTGTCTAGGGAAACCTAAAAGGCTTAACAGAGATGTCATAATAATAATAAAGTATTGCATGGCAGTAATAAAGACCTAGGGATGCATGCTACGATGTGTGGGAAATAATGTTTTTACTTTAAAATAAATATAGAGAAATGGAGCATGTGCAACACCTTCCTGAAAGTAATTTAGGTTACGTAGTCTGCTCCACTAACACTTTTAGTATAGACTTGATTATATTTTGATTTAGATTTTATTGATTTATTTTTATGATGGTACATGTAAGTAATACTGAGCATTTGGGGTTAAATGCTGCAAACAATGTCACAGTGGTTTGTAGTGTGTAAGAGAGCTTTTTCGGATGTTTGTGCTATCCAGGCTGAAAGGAGAGGATGGAGTTTATGAGGGTCTTGATGAAGAATAGATTATAACAAGACATTAAATGAATGCTGAAAACAGTTCAGAATTTCGCTGTTTGTGAGGAATTTGGCATAGCCTGATGAAGCAACCAAGGGGAAGAATTCTAGATTCCTAGAAGGGTTTGGGTTAGAAGGGACCTTTTAAAGCTCATCCCCTGCCATGAGCAGGGACACCTTCCACTAGACCAGGTTGCTCAAAGCCCTGTCTGACCTGGCCTGGAACACTGCCAGGGATAGGGCAGCCACAGCTTCTCTGGGTAACCTGTGCCAGTGCCTCCCCACTCTCATAATAAAGAATTTTTTCCCAATATCTAAATGTTTCCTCTATCAGTTTAAAGCCATTCTTCCCTTGTTCTGTCACTACATGCCATTGTAAAAAGCCTCTTTCCAGCACTGTAGGCCCCTTTAAGAACTGGAACGCTGAAGAACACTAATATGTGCTTGGAAAAAATCGTAGTTAAAACCTGAGGAGGAGAAGCCGTCATTTCTTCTGGGCTAGCTTTACGTTTACCTGCCTTTGAGACTCTCAAGAGGGCTGTCATGGTGAACAATCGCTCGTGTAGCGAGCGATGAGGCGGTGCCAGCCCGGGTTTCCCCTGGCAGAACGGGGGAGCTGAGCTGAGCCCCGCTCCAAGGTCCCTTCCCCTCCGGACCCACGGCACCGAGGGAGGCCGAGCGGGACGGACAGGGGGGCTTCGGGCGGGGCAGCGGCGGCCCCCGCCCGGGCGGGGAAGGTAAGGGCGGGCGGGGCCGGCCGGGCCCCTCCCCGCTCCGCTATAGCTGTCGCCGGCAGCGCGGGGCGGGCAGCTGCCGGCGGGGCCGGCGCCCGGCAGCAGCGGCAGCAGGATCCGTGCCCGCCGCCGGTGCGTGGCCATGTGGCGGGCGCCCAGCCCCGTGCTGCGGGTGGCCCTGCCGCTGCTGGGCGCCGCCGTCTCGCTGTGCGCAGGTAGGACCGGGAGCGGCACCGGGCGCGTCCCGCCTGCCACCTTCGGCAACGGGGACGCGTGGCCGCCGCTGGGCGCGGGTGTAGCAATCGCTGCGCCGAGCGTCGGGACCCTCTCCCCTTCTCCCGGGACCTTCCCTCACCCTGGGTGCCCCCCGCCCCGCCGTGCGCCCGGTGCTCGACAGCTGTGCCCGCGCCAGGCCGGGTCAGCGCTGTTTCTCGGGAGGTTAAGGAGCTTAATGCTTTTCATTGTGACCGACGTGTCCGCGCAAGAAATGGGTCAGCTGGGATTTACGGGGAATAACCGGCCCGGGGCTGGCTCCAGCTCACGCCTGTTTGGGCACTGCGCTCTCAGAAGTTAATCACGGAATGGTGAGGGTTGGGAAGGACCTTAAAACCATCCGGTTCTCGATTGATGGGTTCTAGCAAGTGCAGCCTGGTGGATCTCACCCCGAGGGAGTTCGGGCGTGCACCCCACGCTTTGCTCGTGCACCCGTAGCTCTGCTGGGTGCTTCAGAGGCAGCTTCGTCGAACTGAGCGCCCTTGGTCACGGTGAGAAGCTCTGGCATCAGCCCCGTGCTGGGTGTCCTGTGGGGCCGCCCAGGGCGGTGTGCTCCATCCTGTCCTCCCAGCAGGACACAGGGACGGATAGGACAAGGTTCACGAGTGCTGGAGGTTTCGGGCGGGGGCATAAAACGCACAGTGTCTAAGTTCTTCCAATACAGGTTCTTCTCTTGCGCAGCAGGTGTTATGAAATATTCATTCACCTCAATTTTTCATTTAAAGCCCAGGCTTATGCTCTCAAACTGTGCTCTGCAAACCAGCAGTTAGGCAGCATAGGACAGACTCTTTCAATTTATTTTTTTTTATTAGGTTTATTCTAATTTACTTTTCTCTCAATGTTTTCACTCCAGGAGCTTCTTGGTGTGATGCTCATTGCACTCTTGCAGAGAGGGGTGGTCGCAGCTCCAAGCTGAAAGGAAGGACTGTGCCCACCCCCCATCCCAGTGCTCATATAATCCCTTCTTTTGGAAAAAGAGGAGTAACAAGGCTCCACTGTTGATATTTGAAGTACTTCTATAAAGTATTGTACATCTGGTAAATCCTTATTCCTTCAACGGGTGTCAGACCTGATCTATCTGAGCTCTATGTGTTTGTCTTATCTTTTGTTATTCAAGCTTGGAAGTGAACCACAGATACAGACAGCCCTGTGCTACTCAAGGGTTTTTATGCTTGAACTGAAGCATTGCCAGTGCTGTGGCCATTACTACTTCCCTCTGAAGACTATTCAGTACCCTAATGAATCTCATTGGCTTTGAGTGTTATTTATGTAAAATAGTCTTGCACTGTTTTGCTCTCTGAAGTTTCAGTAGTACTGTCCTCTGGTTTTATTATCCCATTAGTTATCTTTTAAGAGTCTGGATTGGATAATGGAGTGTGTGTGTATGGTCCAGGGTAGGCAGACATCCTCTGCACCCTTACAGCTCTTCAGAGGGGGCATTGAGGGGATTTACACATACCTAGGAACAGTCTTCAGGTCTTGAGCAGTGATTGATGTTCAGTGTAAAGCATTTAGCTGTGCATCTGCTCGATTTACTGTATACCAGCTCACACTCCACTGCAAACCTGTCTGATCAGGGTATGTGACTAAGCATGCTCTGATCACAGAATCATAGAATAGTTAGGGTTGGAAAGGACCTTAAGATCATCTAGTTCCAACCCCTCTGCCATGGGCAGGGACACCTCACACTAAACCATCTCACCCAAGGCTTTGTCCAGCCTGGCCCTGAACACTGCCAGGGATGGAGCATTCACAGCTTCCTTGGGCAACCCATTCCAGTACCTCACCACCCTTACAGGAAAGAAGTTCTTCCTTATATCCAATTTAAACTTCCCATGTTTAAGTTTGAACCCATTACCCCTTGTCCTGTCACTACAGTCCCTAATGAAGAGTCCATCCACAGCATCCCTACAGGCCCCCTTCAGATACTGGAAGGCTGCTATGAGGTCTCCACGCAGCCTTCTCTTCTCCAGGCTGAACAGCCCCAACTTTCTCAGCCTGTCTTCATACAGGAGGTGCTCCAGTCCCCTGATCATCCTCGTGGCCCTCCTCTGGACTTGTTCCAACAGTTCCATGTCCTTTTTATGTTGAGGACACCAGAACTGCACACAATACTCCAAGTGAGATCTCACAACAGCAGAGTAGAGGGGCAGGATCACCTCATTCGACCTGCTGTCGCGCTCCTTTTGATGCAGCCCAGGATATGGTTGGCTTTCTGGGCTGCAAGCACACACTGAAGCCGGCTCATGTTCATTTTCTCATCAACCAACACCCCCAAGTCCTTCTCCGCAGGGCTGCTCTGAATCTCTTCTCTGCCCAACCTGTAGCTGTGCCTGGGATTGCTCTGACCCAGGTGTAGGACCTTGCACTTGGCATGGTTAAACTTCATGAGGTTGGCATCAGCCCACCTCACAAGTGTGTCAAGGTCCCTCTGGATGGCATTCCTTCCCTCCAGAGTGTCAGCCGAACCACACAGCTTGGTGTCGTTGGCAAACTTGCTGCGGGTGCACTCAGTCCCACTGTCCATGTCACTGATAAGCTGATAAGCTTTTTTACCCCCTGTTCTCTGTCATGCAAGTGCGTCATGGTGCCCCCGTATTCAGGTATGTTTGTAGCATTAAGGGCAAAAGTGGTGAATGGTCCTGCTGTTTCCTGTCTACTTACCTGCTGTGGGCTTCTCAAAATTGTTTCCCCCTCCTGGCTGTCACGACCTTTGCTCTCCATCACCTCAATGTGTGCTGTATCAAAAGCTTTGCACGCTCTTCCATACTCTTCATAGCATTATTTCAAGGAATTAGAGAGTACTCAGGGTGCTGTAAGCATTCCTAAATAAACAAGAGTTAAGGGTGCAGACTGCAATAAGGAAGAATGTTGCTGTATCTGCTGGTGGCATGTTAGCCTCTTCTAGCACTCAACACTGAACTGCCTTGTATTTCTTGAGAGCCTTTAGGCATATGCTAAGTTTGTGAAAGTTTGTTTCCCACTTAAAAGCATTTTAATTCCCAGAAAGCAAACCATGAAAACTGTAAGCTATCCCTGATGAATGGCAAAGATGCCTGTAGGTACAGTAAAGTGGGTAGGTGTGGATCTTCACTGGAACCATGGGAGTGCCAGGAATTTGTGTAGCTGAAAGCACAGACACACAAAAGCAACGACTGCTTACAGCCAGGTATAATATACATTTGCTGTATAAAAGTGAGAAGCAAAATAGGTTGCTATTGTAAATTGCTACATAATGATAAATATATGAAATAGCATAAAATTGGACTGTTGCTATGTGAGTAGTAATATATTAAAGCAACTTTATCTTTTTTATCTTTTTCATGCTTTGTAATATCCCTGTATTGAGTTATAAACAGTTGCTGAAAATGCTCTGTGGATCTCAAGTCTGAATGTTTAGCACACTGTTTATTCCAGCATTTCCTATAGGATGTAAACTTGGGCTACAAGTCTGAGGTGTGTAACTCTCACGGCAATAGCTGCTGTGAACCGTCCACTGCGCATCTGTTTATGTGTGTGCTGCTGAAGGGTCCAGTGAGCCACATTCTGCGAAAAGCATCTTTGTTCCAGATTAATCATTTGGTTTACTTAGTCTTTATTAACTGGCAATATTGAAAAGCCTACATGTTGTCAAGCACCAAAAATAGTATGTCCCTGGAAAGAAGTATGGCAGTAGCAAAGCAGTTGTACTTCACTGCACAATTTAATTCTCTGCTGTGTGACAAATTATCAGTATGATGCTGTCTTCTCATTTCTGTGGGTCACTGAAGCTCTGTTTTCCTAGCTTTTAGTAAAAAACTGTAAAAATACATAAGCTTTAATGAAACAACATAGATGAGAAGCACAAGCCCAGCTGTGATCTACCAGGGTGTCTACCAACAATTCACACAGATAAAGGACTGTATGTGGGATGAGTGGGTGCAATTTCATTTTGCTTTTTTTGGAGTAGGCTCTAGATTCTTACCAGCTGTGTGCAATGATTATTGTAGTCTGTAATCTGGCTACGGTATTTTGTCACTTTTGAGGAGTACTGCTGATACAAGAGCAATACAGTTGCTCTCCACCTGCAGCAGTGCAACCATTCATCCCTATCAGGTAGTGGATGAGCTGCTGCATGTGCCTGTTGGTTCAGCTGTACACATGTTGGAGCATCTGTCCTGGGTTACGGCATTGCGATGTCACAGCTTTCAACAAAAATCCCTGGGAAAAGGGGTCTTGGATATCCTGCTGAAGCCCCTTGGAGCCATAGTCTGCTACTATATTCTTTGTATCAGGTGCTGGGAGGGATAGGCTCAGGGCTTTTTTCCGTGCTTATTTTTGTAGGCTAGAAATTCAGCTTCTGCCTAGCTGGGAAGGTTCTGATAACCTGGTAATTAACATAACCATGACACGAAAGTGTTGAGCAGTGAGCAGATAATAGGGAAGAGATATTTGGATAATAACTCCCTGTTCAAAAATGTGATTTCCTCTCTTGTAACTGAAGTGCTGTTAGGCTCTGAATTATCATGGTTCGTCTCCAGCTATCATGCAGAGAACAAAGTCCTAACTGAGACAAAGTTGGATACCTAAATCTCGATGCTATGAATACCCACTGAGGAGGGGGGTTACCTCCCCAGCACCTCTGGACACGTGTAGGTGAATCTGGGCACAGGAAAATCACTCTGGGGGTTGATGGTTTTGTCACTTTGGCGCATGTCCTGTCCTGAGTGCTGTCAGAGATGCTGCAGTCCTGAGGTCCCCCAGGATGAAAGGATTCTTCCATTGCCTTAGGGCTGAAGTGATGGATGTAACCCTGGCTGTGCCAGCCCTCCTTCAGAGGTGGCTGCATTTCACTGCTGGGTGTAGCCTGGGGTATGCCTTTTTCCAGAACAAGTGGTATTTGCAAATTAAGATTTTCTTATGGAAGAGAATAGGAAAGGACCTACAACAATCGTCTTGTCCA